AACTCTTTCTTTTATCGTCATGTTGGTTTTTTTGGCATAGCTACCAAAAAAACGTGGCAAGACCATTGAAAAACCGCAAAAATAAATTTAACATTTCTACACTTAATTCATAATACGCAGTGGCTAGTTTTACGAAAAGTCACCCTAGGAGGTAAAGCAAAGCCAGCGTAGAAAAACAAAAAACAGTCTAATTACAGTTGTTACTATTTAGTTCCTTTAGTTGACGACGCAATGTGACACATTTAAACATACTTGTACCGAATTGTATTTAAAAATCTGTTTACATTTGCTTTTGTATAGTTTACCAGTGTTGTTATTGTTCGCGATTAATTATTTGTTATTTAAAACGTAGTAACAGTTTATTTAGTGCTGTGTTAGTGCCAGAAAACTACATACTTGAAACTGAAAATGGTTAAACGAATTTCTCATCTTGCGCATGCGCACCTTCATTGAATTGGACGAAAAATGGGAACATCTACTTTAAATGCAACAGGACCGAAGTTTGATACATTTTGAGGTTAAAACAGGTGAGTCCTCACTTTTTTTTAACGAGGGCGATTTTTCGTCAAACCAGCAAATGCAAACTGAAAAAGACGACACGTCTATTATTTTTAAATATTCTTTTACGTTCTATCCCCTATTCTATCTTTGACATTACAGTAAATTTTTGATTTTTGCTGATATCCTCTGTACGTCCTCCTGATATAACCCTTAACAATAAATTAATATCGCGGAATCGCGGTGCTAGAGTGAAGTTAGTTACAGTGGAAATACAGAAGACCAAAAGTCGCTACGCACTTACTGCTACATTGTGCGTATTTTTCTAACACTTACATTTAAAATTATCTTACATATGGCAAGAATACGCTAGCTTATTAATTTCCAAGGGCATACTTAGCTACACTTAAAACTATTTACTAAACATATATAAGTAGTATTACTTTTATTACATTTAAGATAATACGACACTTCCTCCGCTTCACAACTAGTAAGTTAGAGGCTCCAAATAGAGGATGAGAAAAATTAATTATTGTATAAATTAAGTCTATCCCCTTGCTTTTACTTTTTAATCATCGACATCCAAAAATTCTGGTTGAGAATTTTGGTGTGAGCAAGTAGATATACACTTATAAAACTATAAATTACTTTGACAAAGAAAACTGCTTTTCTTTGACGTTACTTACGACTAGATACATGTTAGACAGTATTTTTTATATATTAGAATTATTTTAATAAGTAGATGAACAAATGTTTTTTTTAACACCAAATATGAGCGAAATCAAAAGTTTGAAGAAACGTGACTGGTCCTTATTTGTCCTTACAGGGTGTGAATTTTTTCTAAGTAACCTTTCTTAATATGTAAATGTACGGCAAAAATATATTTTACATAGTTAATACAAGGATTATTTTTGCTATGTACATACACATAGTATAATTCCGATATCAGTAGTGGCTTTTTAAAAATATATCTTTTATTATTAGCTCATGCACTTTAATTTTATTTTAATCGTATTAGATTAATTCAAGAAGTCAAAAAACGTTCTTCAATACCAGAAATCTACAAAATTACAATAAAACGGAATATTCCGTTTCACTGGCTGTGATTGGTGTCCGACTTACTCAGTTTCTACGAACTAACCCAAATGTTGTCTTGCTTCACCATAACACAAATGCTTTACCATAATACAGAATGTTCACCATGAATTAAAACGATATCCATCAACTCCGAGTTGCTATACACGCAAGCCATTACTAAAAAACTATTGTAAACACTAACGCAACGACGATTGTAAAATCGGATTTCAGTATTCGGAGTCGTCGAGGCTACGTGGCTCTCCACGCGTATTGCGAATGCCGCTAGAGACTACAATTGTCCAGGTATGTAATGGTTGAATGTACTACAACTACAATATTTTTTTTCTCGGAAACTATAAGGATTTTATAATTTTTTTTAAGATATTGACTTCATTTCTCATGCCGCATCTATTCCCAAATTTTTTTGGATAAGTTGTATATCACCCTGTATATTATTGCATTATCGACAAGATAAACTAAAAATAAGACAAGTTATGTTAAAGTTTTCGTGTACCTATATCTAACCGTTTTCGAGATAATCGACATTTTATAAAAATTTTGACAGATACAAACGTTTCGAAAAATCGTTATATCTTTCTTCGATGTGGAAGCTTTCACTTGCATTTCGGAACAAACAAAGAAAATAAGATGCACTACTTTCCGCTATCAAAATCACCTGAAGAAAATTATACCAAGTGAACCATTTTTTACGTTACATTTTTACTTAAACTTAAAATCGATAAAACTTTTTAAATTCTAATGGAACACCTGTATTTTCTTGCACTGTAGGGGTTACAGTTTCGATTTTTTCAGATTTTTGCGGTTTTCTTACATTCTCAAGAATATTACGTTAAAAATATCATCAAATGTGCAATTTTTTTCATAATTACATTTATAAAATGCATTGTTTCGCATTTGCTGAATCTTTTAAATAAGAAGGGAATATATTTATAAAAAATAATAATGTTTTCTTTCAATATGATACTATTATTAGTAACTGCAACTATAATAAAGAACAAATAATTATCTTTTCATTAAAAAAATAATGAAATGTAAAGCAACCAAAATTTTAAATTATGTTTTTTCTCCTTTCAACTTTATTCCAAATATCATAAAATTATCTGATATTTATTAGTTATTTGAAATCATTTATGTTTGCTATTCTTTAAAAACTATTACAACATTAAAAATTACAGAAAAATTCTACGAAAACCAGCAGAAATAATTTTATTAGGTAATTGTTTTGTTTCGGTTGCAAATACCAAATCATAGAAATTCAACTAATAATTCTGATTCTAGGTGAATGTTCCATGTATGTAAAATAAATTAAAAATACTTGATACTCGTAGAATATTGAATGAGAGTACCGATATTTGTCTTTCAATGCATATTTTATCATATTTTTAACGTAATATTCTCGAGTATGTAAGAAAACCGCAAATATCTTAGAAAATCGAAACTGTAACTCCTACAATGTCTACATCGGTGCATAGATAATTTGATTTTCTATAATATGGTGCAAAAAATACAGGGTGTCCCATTTGAATTTAAAAAATGTTGTCGGTTTTAAGTTTTTAAAATGTAACGTACAAAATAGGATACTTTTACGTAATTTTGATAGTGGAAGGTAGTGTATCTTATGTTCTTTGTGTCTGCCGAAAAGCAAGTGAAAGCTTCCAGGACGAAGAAAGATATAAGGAATTTTCGAAACGAATCTGTCAAAATTTTTATAAAATGTCGATAATCTCAAAAAAGGTTAGATATAGACATAGTATAGCAGAAGCTTTAACATTTTTGGGTTATTTTTAATTTATCTTGTCGGTAATGCAATAATATATAGGGTGTTCCATTTACAATAAGCAAGTACAGAGTGAGCCATTTGAAACCCGGTCACCCTCATAACATTTTTATTTATGGGGCGATTTTGACGAATTTTTTTTTTAAATGTAGAGGGGGGAAAAGTGTATTTTGGGATCAAGCGGCGTCCAGTTTTTTTTAAACTAAGGCCTACTAGATAACATTCAGAGGCTGAAAAATCCAGAATCCATATTAGCGATTTTTTTAGAAAAAATCCCCTGAAATGGAAATTTCATGAAAAAATATTCAACATTAACGATTCTACGGCTAAATTGCTGTCAAATTGTTTATTATGCATTAAGAAGCTTTTTATCTAGGAACCCATTCGATAACAAATCAATCACAACAAATATTTAATAACAACATTTAATAGACAATCCTTATATCAAAATACAATGAAACAAACAGAAAAACAAACGAGAAATTAACAAAATTTACAAAAAACGCAGTAAAATAAAATAAAATTAACATACATGAATTAACTTTAAATTCTAGATTTTTCAACTAAATCTCCATTTAATTGAATGCATTTATTGTATCGTCTTTGAATGTGTGCCATAACATTAGACAATTAATGTGTTGTAATTTCTGCGCATGCCTGTCTTCTTCTTTCGCGCAGCTCTTCTGCATTCGTTGGACGAGTGTAGCAAACTTTTCATGTGTGTTAATTTTATTTTATTTTACTGCGTTTTTTTAAATTTTATGTTAATTTCTCGTTTATTTTTCTGTTTGTTTCATTGTATTTTGATATAGGGATGTCTATTAAATGTTGTTATTAAATATTTGTTGTGATTGATTTATTAACGTATGGGTTACTAGATAAAAAGCTTCTTAATGCATAATAAACAATTTGCCAGCAATTTAGCCGTAGAATCGTTAATGTTGAATATTTTTTCATAAAATTTGGTACAGATCCATTTCAGGGGATGATGCCGAATGCAGTGGCGTACGCAGATTTTTTCTAAAAAAATCGCTAATATGGATTCTGGATTTTTCAACCTCTGAATGTGATCTAGTAGGCCTTAGTTTAAAAAAGAACTGGACGCCGCTTGATCCCAAAATACACCTTTCCCCCCTCTACATTTAAAAAAAAATTTCGTCAAAATCGCTCCATAAATAAAAATGTTATGAGGGTGGTCCGCTTTCAAATGGGTCACTCTGTATAGATGGCGACTTTCAGTATAACCGGAAGTGCTACAATAGTTGCATTATTTTATTTAAAGAGAGCACCCTCGAAAACACATGAATTAATCGTAATTATTGAGTATTTTTTGCAAAATTTCCGACAAAACAGGAAAAGTACATTCCGATGTTTACGTGCTTGCAACAGTTTTATAGTTTGGATGGATTTTCTTGTTCTATTATGGTTTTACTAAAGTGTTCTTGCCTATAAAACCACAAACGCGAGGTTAGATATCTTTGATATAAGAAATTTTTGGTATCAAAGAACATTGTTCGACTGCACCCGATAGGTTATGCAATTATTTGAGTTAGTTTAACGTACAACTATTAATTCAACGTTATTCAGCAAGATGACACGAAAATAAGCGCAGCTAGGGCAAACCCGATCATTTCCACCTTTTCAAATTGTACAGCGCGATCTCGAAATTCTGAAAACCTCCGGAGAAAATGTTCACCGCCACCAGGAATATCGTGTTGGCTATGACCATGTTCCTAAACGCTTCCGAAACGGCAAAGGAATACAAAGTGACGTACGGCAGCAGCGACCAAAACAACAGCGCCAGGTACAGTTCCCAGCGCCTGTCCGTCTTCAGGATTTGCCCGTGCAGGAAATGCCCGGTGGCGTAGAACTCCTTTATGGTCCTTTCCTTGTCCAACCAGCGCCTCTCCAGGAATTCCTTGAGACCCGGTTCCGACTTGGGCAGGACGCTCTTTGGATATCTGCGCGTACAATGTGAATGTAAGGGGTGTTTTGTAAAGAGGTGCCGTAAATCTATCGCCGAATTTATTGTACCTTTCTCCAAAACACCCAGTCTGTTTGATTATAAAATATAAAACTATAACTCGGGTATTCATTTTTGGACACCCTGTAAAGTATATGCAGGGCGTTCCACCTAAGAGGGATTCTTCTGCAACTCTGCAACTGTGTTTATAAAAAATGGTTTTAATAAAAGATGTCTGGAATAATGTGGGTCACGTGAAAAAAATATTTTTAGCTTTACAGGATGGTCCATTTCGCATGGGCGCTATACATATAACTTTGGTATTTTAAATGGAACACCCTGTATATTATTACGTTTTTGAATTCCTTGATTAATATTAGGTAGGGTTTATTAAATGTACATGGTGTTTAAAACTTACCGTTTTCGAGATAATCGGTTGTTTTTGAAAAAAATTACGATTTCAGCTCTCTAAATGAGGCTAGATAGCGTCTAAACCGAGGGGCGTAAGGAAAAAACGTACGAAGATTACAAAATTTCTGAAATCTCTTGTAATGTATCTGCAGATTTCAATATCGATTAAAAAACATTACAAATTTCATATAAATAATCAAGATTACAATATCTTTCAACCGATTACAAAACATTTCAGGAAATTTCAGAGTTATTTTAGTAGATTTCAATGATTATTTAAGATTTCAATAGGATTATTCGAAATTAAAAGAAGATTTCAAAATTTCTTAATAATATTTCAAGGAATACGGGAAGATTACAATAAGTTTTGAATGTCCATTTGAACAAAAATAATTGAATTAACTTCAACTGTCATTCATTTCATTCATTAACAGTAGTGCTTTGATTAAGAATTTCCAGTATCATTTTTACGCAAAAATTGTAACATTCTGATTAAGTTTTTGTTCGAATGAACGTTAAAAACTTTTTGTCATGACAAAAATGATAACGCCATTTTGAAAGTAGGTAAGTATATATTTTTATTGAAAGATAAAAATATAATAATCCAATAAACTAATAAAAATAAAAAAA